TGGGATTGATTTGCACTTTTCGCACCATAGTACGTTAATCTCTAGGAGACAGAACGCGTCTCCTTCCTGAGCGGTATGACAGCTGCGTGGTCCCATCGTGTTTATACTTGCGTACTATTGTTTGTACAGATGAACGTGGTACCTTCAGGCATTTGGAAATTGCTCACAAGGATGAACCAGACTTGTGGAGGTCTACAATTTTTTTTCTGAGGTCTTGGCTGATATCTTTTGATTTTCCCATGATATCAAGCAAAGAGGCACTGAGTTTGAAGGTAGGTCTTGAAATACATCCACAGGTACACCTCCAATTGACTCAAATGATGTCAATTAGCCTATCAGAAGCTTCTAAAGCCATGACATTTCCAAGCTGTTTAAATGCACAGTCAACTAAGTGTATGTAAACTTCTGACCCACTGGAATTGTGATACAGTGAATTATAAGTGAAATAATCTGTCTGAAAACAATTGTTGAAAAAATTACTTGTGTCATGCACAAAGTAGATGTCCTAACCGACTTGCCAAAACTATAGTTTGTTAACAAGAAATGTGGTTGAAAAAAAAGTTTTAATGACTCCAACCTAAGTGTATGTAAACTTCCGACTTCAACTGTACATACACACCTGATGATAATTATATAGTACATTGATTACTGTAGTCACAATGTGGTTGTCCAGTCATGCATCTGGATTACAAAATATGTTTCATAATATGTTTCATACATCATATGTTTCAAAATATGTTTCATACATCATAGACAGGTGTAGTCACTAATCCTCTTTTAAACCCAGAATGATTCTGCTTATTGTTAAATTATTTTATAATATATGTAATGGAAAAATACCTATAATGGTTACTTGTTTGGGGTGGATGGGTGGGCGTATAACGAGAACGTCTAGCAACCCAATGGTTACGAGCTCGAACTTCATAACGGACAACTTTAGCATTTTAGCTAATTTGCAACTTTTCAACTACTTCCTACTTTTCAGTTCCTTTGCAACTACTTAGCATGTTAGCTAACCCTTCCCCTAACCCTAACAATTTTAGTTAACCCTTTCCCTAACCTTAACCCTTTAACCTAACTCCTAAACTTAACCCTAACCCAGTTAACGTTAGCCAGCTACCCACCTAGCTATAATTCATTACATATCACACGTTTTGCAAATCCGTAACATATGTTACGAATTACAATTCATATTGTATCATACGAAATGAGTGATGGACATCCACAAATTAATACATACCATATGAAACATCCTAAATGGAGTGTCTCAGATTTACTTACAGAATAATATGAAATGTTCTTAGACCAGGTTGGGTAGCTATCTATCTTTACATTTTAGTAATTTAGCAGAAGCTCTTATCCAGAGCGACTTACAGTATTAAGTCCATACATTTTCATACTGGTCACCCTTGGGATTCAAACCACCAATCCTGGCGTTACATGCGCCATGCTCTACCAACTGAGCTACACAGGACTACAGTTCAAATAAAGCAAAATGATGTACTAATATAAAAGTGCAACTATACACTGTAAAGTATAAACCCAACATAGCTTAATTTATGAATGAGGTCCCAGGCGGACGGTTCTCGGTTGAACGTGGACGCCACACATTACAGTCCTTGCACTTTGAAACCCACCCCACTCGTGGTCAAAAGTTTTGATAATGACACATGTATTGGTCTTCACAAAGTTTGCTGCTTCAGTGTTTTTAGATTTTTTTGTCAGATGTTACTATGGTATACTGAAATATAATTACAAGCATTCCATATGTGTCAAAGGCTTTTATTGACAATTACATTAAGTTTATGCAAAGAGTCAATAATTGCAGTGTTGACCCTTCTTTTTCAAGACCTCTGCAATCCGCCCTGGCATGCTGTCAATTAACTTCTGGGCCACATCCTGACTGATGGCAGCCCATTCTTGCATAATCAATGCTTGGAGTTTGTCAGAATTTGTGGGTTTTTGTTTGTCCACCCGCCTCTTGAGGATTGACCACAAGTTCTCAATGGGATTAAGGTCTGGGGTGTTTCCTGGCCATGGACACAAAATGTCGATGTTTTGTTCCCCGAGCCACTTAGTTATCACTTTTGCCTTATGGCAAGGTGCTCCATCATTGTCTAAGGCACTGCATCGCAGTGCTAGCTGTGCCACTAGAGATCCTGGTTCGAATCCAGGCTCTGCTGTAGCCGGCCGCAACCGGGAGACCAATGGGGCGGCGCACAATTGGCCCAGCGTCGTCCAGGGTAGGGGAGGGAATGGCCGGCAGGGAGGTAGCTCAGTTGGTAGAGCATGGCGTTTGCAACGCCAGGGTTGTGGGTTCGATTCCCACGGGGGGCCAGTATGAAAAATAAAAAAAGAATAATGTATGCACTAACTGTAAGTCGCTTTGGATAAGAGCATCTGCTAAATGACGTAAATGTAAAAATGTAAATGAAAAGGCATTGTTCGTCACCAAACTGTTCTTGGATGGTTGGGAGAAGTTGCTCTCGGAGGTTGTGTTGGTACCATTCTTTATTCATGGCTGTGTTCTTAGGCAAAATTGTGAGTGAGCCCACTCCCTTGGCTGAGAAGCAACCCCACACATGAATGGTCTCAGGATGCTTTACTGTTGGCATGACACAGGACTGATGGTAGTGCTCACCTTGTCTTCTCCGGACAAGCTTTTTTCCGGATGCCCCAAACAATCGGAAAGGGGATTCATCAGAGAAAATGACTTTACCCCAGTCCTCAGCAGTCCAATCCCTGTACCTTTTGCAGAATATCAGTCTGTCCCTGATGTTTTTCCTGGAGAGAAGTGGCTTCCTCGCTGCCCTTCTTGACACCAGGCCATCCTCCAAAAGTATTCGCCTCACTGTGCGTGCAGATGCACTCACACCTGCCTGCTGCCATTCCTGAGCAAGCTCTGCACTGGTGGTGCCCCGATCCCGCAGCTTAATCAACTTTAGGAGACGGTCCTGGGGCTTGCTGGACTTTCTTGGGCGCCCTGAATCCTTCTTCACAACAATTGAACCTCTCTCCTTGAAATTCTTGATGATCCGATAAATGGTTGATTTAGGTGCAATCTTACTAGCAGCAATATCCTTGCCTGTGAAACACTTTTTGTGCAACGCAATGATGACGGCACGTGTTTCCTTGCAGGTAACCATGGTTAACAGAGGAAGAACACTGATTTCAAGCACCACCCTCCTTTTAAAGCTTCCAGTCTGTTATTCTAACTCAATCAGCATGACCTAGTGATCTCCAGCCATGTCCTCGTCAACACTCTCACCTGTGTTAACGAGAGAATCACTGACATGATGTCAGCTGGTCCTTTTGTGGCAGGGCTGAAATGCAGTGGAAATGTTTTTTGGGAATGAAGTTCATTTTCATGGCAAAGAGGGACTTTGCAATTCATCTGATCACTCTTCATAACATTCTGGAGTATATGCAAATTGCCATCATAAAAACGGAGGCAGCAGGCTTTGTGAACATTTATATTTGTGTTATACCACAACTGTATCCATTCACCTGGCAAAATGGCTGAAAAGAGTGGGCTTGTTCCTCTTTGCAAGCGACAGTGCAGGCGACTGCCTACTGACTGATCTACAAATTACTTTCCATCATAAATAACTAAGTACTCATTGTTATTTGTAGATCAGTCAGTCAGTCACAATTTACCCATGATACATTACGGTTTTGATCCTCTCGACCACGGCCAATGTGTCCTGTCAGTTTACATAAGCTCCAGCTGGGCATTGTTAACAAGGTCAGTGCGATAGGTTTGAAAGTGAATTCATACACATTATTTGTATTGAACTATTATAACTGGGTCTTGCAATCTTTATATCAAATATACTTTGATAATAGGCCAAATGTTGTTTTATTAAGAAGAACAAGTATCACACATGCATAAACTACACCCAGTTTTTATACTTTTGCGTAAACTACCGCGTCTTTGTTCGTCACATGACATTGGCCGTGTTCGAGAGCATCAATACGACTGCTGACTGACTGTTCTACAAGTCACCTTGCAGCATAAATTGCGACTCACTATGATTTGTAGATCAGTCAGTCACAATTTACCCATCATCCATGCGGTTTTGATCCACTCGAACACGGCCAATGTGGGAAGTGGTGGTGCTGAAGAGGCAACAACGAAGATGGCGTGCTGTGGGAATTGCTTATGTTGTCACTGCTGCTGCACGGATGAAGAGACCCGAACACCCGAGGAACTGGTAAGAGAGAATTCGCATAATGTGTAGAATTGCATCAATGTGCAAAATATTGTGTGTGAGTTTTCCAAGGAAAACTGAGCTTGTGTCCTGACTTCACCCTGGCTGGAGAAAGCTCCACCCTGTTCTGTTTTGATGTATGGACATCTCTCAATGCTAACTTAGCTAGCTAACTATATTGCACAATAGTTTGATAAATAAATAAATATTGAGTTCGACTATGTTACAGTATATAGCTCTTGGGCAGCAATATAGGCTAAATAAATGTTTTGGGGAAATGTGTAGTGTGATTCAAACTAACAACATGACAGCTAGCTGACAGTGGTGAGCAACTAATATGCTAACTAGTAGCCACTGGCACTACGCTAGCAAATATTTTTTATAACGAACCCTCCTTGTTTTATCTGTGACACTGGCTTGATACTTGCCAAGCACGACCTATGCCATTTATTTATGCATGATGTGCATTGTTTAATAGAGGCTCTTGTCAAACACCATATTGGACTGTTTGACAAGGGGGCATTAATTGTCGAGGAAGTGTATGTTGAAAGAGAGCTAGCATCTAGCTATTTATTTCCCTCAAGCTATTCACAGCCTTGCATGATGACTCAGGAAGAAACTTCAGCCAACGGCTTGCTCTTTTGTTGGGGTTATTGTGTGTGTCATATAGTACTAGGTGTAGCAAGTGCCAGCTATCTTTTAATGACGACTGGAAAGGTGCACTGCACAACCTTATTTGTCAGGCTGAGAGTCGTTTTGTGTCGTTGTTTTTTTTATTCTTCATGCACAATGGCAGTGTCACATTCTTCTCATTTCCAGACTATTCTTGGGGAAACTCAAGATGAAGAGGATGAGATCCTTCCAAGGAAAGATTATGAGGTGAGAAAATCCCCTTGAAGCAGATCAAGATGTCTAACTCCATATGAATGAAGGGAAAATAGACACACCCAAATGAGAATCAGTGTAGCTCTTGACTATAAACTACAGAATAAATTCAATGGAACACACACTGACTCCTCTCCCAATGGTTCTCTATCTTTTGGCAGAGCCTGGATTATGACAGGTGCATCAATGAACCATATGTCGAGGTTCTGGAGGGGATGAACAATAAGGTATACTAAGAAATGAACTGTGGTGTTGGTATTGTGATAAGTAGGCCTACATTTTGAGTTAGTTACAAAGTCGTTACTAAGTCATTAAGTATGTGGTGAGACCACCAACTACACTAGAATGCCTTTTGTTTTTTGTTTTTTTACAGCCTCTGAAAATCACATATTTTCATTTCCACAAACTGCATATTGCAATTGTTCTGTCTATACTTCCATCTCTTCTAACATGGGTTCTTCTATCACACATTAGAGAGCCAAAAAGTATGAAGCTGTGAGGTGGATGCTGGTGTTTGCCATTGGAGTTTCAGTAGGCATGGTAAATGCAATCATGTTCTATGCTGCATGTAAAATCAGACATTCAGATTTTTGGTTGACTTACATACCGGTATGTTAGCGATAAACAATGACCCTCTGTACATTCTCTGGAAATAATGTATGTGGAAGGTATGGATGATGTGCAGGTGCTTCTAACAAATGTCTGCATGCTTTGAAAAAAATGCAAATTAAACTCTTATTAACACCATTGTCTTTTGTTTCAGGTGGGTGTTTTTGTGGACTTTTTTGTACGCCTTTTCACTCAGCTCAAATTCAACTTGGTGGGAAAATGTATCTTTTTTTGAAGATGGAATATTTCACTCAAAAACATCTATCCCTAATTGATAATGTCTTTCTGATGTTGAACATTGAAAATCAACATATTGTATTAGTTGAGAGCAGTGAGGTGTTGTGTGGCAGACAGTGCTTTTCCTTAGCCAGTGTGTGCTAGCTGTGGAGGAGTGCAGTGAGAAAGGCTGCCTGGCTCTGTCGCTTCTTGAGCTGCTGGCCTTCAACATGACCTTCATCTTCATCGCCAGTATGTTGGTCCTCATCGAGGTAAAGCCGCTCTACACAAATACCTAACATGTCCTTACATGCTATTGTTATGCTATTAAAGTCGACTCCTGACTGTCGCTTGGGACTGTCGCGATGGCGTGCAGTTATCAGGAGCAATTAAAAAGGGACTCCTTTGCACTTCAATGGAGTTTGCGCTTATCTGAAGTGCACTTGTCAGGAGTCTACTGTACTGCCTACCTGCCTGTACTGACCATACCCTCATTTTCAGAAGTAATGAGCATGCTCATAATCCCTTTGACAATACGCTTTGACGGTTTATTATCAAAACCGCTTCTTTACACCTGTTGGATAGTTATTTTCGTTTTCTTTGCTTGTCTGGTGGTATCATATCAGAATTGTCCCAACTCCTACTGAACGTCCCTGTCGTGTGTTCTTTAGCCTGTAGCTGCAGGCTCGGGAATCCCTGAGATCAAGAGCTACCTGAACGGAGTGAAAATACCTGGAATAGTCCGGCTGCGGACTTTCCTCTGCAAGGCTATCGGAGTCCTCTTCACCGTAGCCGGAGGTACTACAAAATAGATGGAACAAGGTCGTATTCACTAGGCACCAAACAGAAGAAAACTGAAACAGAAAGGGACTACCTGAACTTGTCCAATAGTTCTTTCGCTTTCCGTTTCAAAACATTTTGCTACAGTGTGCACTAATGAATACGACCCCTGACTTTCCAACAGATGCAAACATTATAGGATTTAACTAAAAGGAATCCAGTGGCAATGCGTCTGTTCCGCCTCTAAGTGTTTGATCCCTCAGGTCTGTTTGTGGGGAAGGAGGGCCCAATGATCCACAGTGGAGCCATCGTGGGAGCCGGACTCCCTCAGTTTCAGAGCATCACTTTCAAAAAGATCAACTTTGACTTCCCCTACTTCCGCAGTGACAGGTACAGTAGCACACTCTACTACTCTGAAGTTCTAATAGTGCAGTAGTTCATCATTGTAAGTTAAATCTCTGTGCTTAATCTTGATTTCAGGGACAAGCGGGACTTTGTGTCAGCGGGGGCGGCGGCTGGGGTGGCGGCTGCGTTTGGGGCACCAATAGGGGGCACCCTCTTCAGCCTGGAGGAGGGCTCCTCGTTCTGGAACCAGGCACTCACCTGGAAAGTGGTAGGTCAAAGGTCACAGACAGAGACACGCATGCAAACACACGCAGGCTGTTTTTCTGTCATTGTCAGTCAGCCTGGTCTGAGGTACCACTCTCTTCCTGTCTACCCCCCCAGCTCTTCTGCTCCATGTCGGCTACGTTCACCCTCAACTTCTTCCGCTCAGGGATCAACTACAACAAATGGGGCTCGTTCCAGCTCCCCGGCCTGCTCAACTTTGGAGAGTTCAAGGTACAAGCACTCATTCCCACTAATTCACATTCACGGTTTTTCATGTTGTGGAGGTGTGCGTAAAGTGTGTGTGTATGTGGGTCTGTGTGTGCATATAATGGTTTAGCAACTTGAGTTCTATATCTCCATGGGTGTCCATCCCTCTCCCACAGTGTTCAGACGGGGATAAGAAGTGCCACCTGTGGACGGCGGTGGACCTGGCCTTCTTTGTCCTGATGGGGGTGGTGGGAGGGCTGCTGGGGGCCTTCTTTAACTGCATCAACAAGAGGCTGGCCAAGTACCGCATGAGACACGTCCACCCCAAGGCCAAGTTTGTCAGGTACCTGCTAGGAGAGATATGTACACACACACATACATATACACTTCATTGTAGTGACAGTTGCGTTGCTGCAATGCTTTGTTTCAAATTAACATATTGAAAATGTTTGTTTCAAATTATCAATATATTTAACTTCCCCATCAAAGTGGAAAGGCATATTTCTCAAAGGGTTTACAGTGATTTGTGTTTCATCTCATGTTCGTTGTCTGGTCCCTGGCTAGGGTTCTAGAGAGTTTGCTGGTCGCCATGGTGACCACGGTGGTGATCTTCGTGGCATCCATGACGTTGGGTGAATGTCGCGACTTGGCCTCCACAATCACCAACAACAAAACTACAGCTCAGGTACGTTTGGCAAAGCTCAACTTTATAAAAAAGTGAAGCATATATAAATAAGATAAGAACAGCCGTAAAACGACGTCATAATCAATATGCACGAAAAGCATATTGAAACATAACAAGCCCATAAAACAACCTATATTCATACTAAAGCATCCTTAAAAAGTTTTCTATTGCCTCTCTGACCTCTCTGATTGGCCGCCTGAGTTGAATGAAGTGAAGTGGCATTGACATTCTATTCCAAAACTGTTTCCCCAGGCCTCTCTAGTCTAGTGTACACTCAAGTCCTTCAGAAGTGGAGTTTCACATTTTGAACGCGTCCCACATCGGACAGACATCATGTATACAGTGCATACATGTAACTAAAGTTAGAAACATACTCACATCCAATGGTTTTGTTACAATGGTAAAATATGTGATATGGTGCTTTATCTAGGTGTCCCTCAACGAAGACGTCATCAACTCTACCATCCGCCAGTTCTTCTGCCCCAACAAGACGTACAACGACATGGCCACTCTGTTCTTCAACCCTCAGGAGGTGGCCATCCACCAGCTCTTCCACCAGGACGGTGAGACAAGGGCTGTTCTAGGATCATATTAGCCTTTTAAATAATGATGAATAAGATTATGGACAGGCTCCCACCTGATTTTAAGGGCAAAACTGATCCCATGCCTGTACTAAACAGCATGCTCAATTAATAATCTGGGTATATTAATAATATGTAAAGCACTTCTTAGTTCCAGGACTAGGCTTAATCTGTGTTTTCTTTGAACATGGCCACTAGTCTCACTCCCTATACACATACACACCGAAAGACATGTTAGTGTTATGGTAATGGCTACACTTTAGTCAGTCATTAAACAGAACATAATGAACACCTCTGTGGCCAGCTCTGAAAAAGATCTGATGTGATTGGTCAAAAGACCAATTAGTGGAAGAAAGATCAGAGTTGGACTGCCTGTGTAAACGCAGCCTTACTGTGTGATTTCCTGTGTTTCCTGTCTGTCTCTGTAGGTACGTTCAGCCCTGTGACACTGATGGTGTTCTTTGTGTTGTACTTCCTGTTGGCATGCTGGACGTACGGCGTGTCGGTGCCCAGCGGCCTCTTTGTGCCCTCGCTGCTCTGTGGTGCCGCTTTCGGACGCCTGGTGGCCAACCTCCTCAAAATGTAAGACCAACGTTTTGATAATGTTCTCAATGTTAGGCCAACGTTCTCGTAATCAAATGTTCTCAAAATGTTAGGCATATTCTAATGTACGCAAATTGTTAGGTCGACGTTCTTGCTATAACTTTTTTTCCAGAAATGCCAACGTTCTCATAGTCAGTACTCAAATACGTAAGCTGTCTCAAAACAAAATGTCCAGGAATGGTAATGGTGTATATCAGAGTCATTCATTCAAAGCTGTCATCAAGGCAAAGGGTGGCTACTTTGAAGAATCTCAAATATAAAATATATTTTGATTTGTTTAAAATGTTTGGTTACTACATGATTCCATGTGTGTTATTTCTACAATGTAGAAAATTGTAAAAATAAATCCTGGAATGAGTAGGTGTGTCCAGACTTTTGACTGGTACTGTAGATATAAACTGCGTTTATTTTCAGCAAACTTAACATATTTGTATGAACATAACAAGATTCAACAACTGAGACATAAACTGAACAAGTTCCACAGACATGTGACTAACAGAAATTGAATAATGTGTCCCTGAACAAAGGGTGGGTCAAAATCAAAAGTAACAGTCAGTATCTGATGTGGCCACCAGCTGCATTAAGTACTGCAGTGCATCTCCTCCTCATGGACTGCACCAGATTAGCCAGTTCTTGCTGTGAGATGTTACCCCACTCTTCCACCAAGGCACCTGCAAGTTCCCGGACATTTCTGGGGGGAATGGCCCTAGCCCTCATCCTCCAATCTTACAGGTCCCAGACGTGCTCAATGGGATTGAGATCCGGGCTCTTCGCTGGCCATGGCAGAACACTGACATTCCTGTCTTGCAGGAAATCACGCACAGAACAAGCAGTATGGCTGGTGGCATTGTCATGCTGGAGGGTCATGTCAGGATGAGCCTGCAGGAAGGGTACCACATGAGGGAGGAGGATGTCTTCCCTGTAACGCACAGCGTTGAGATTGCCTGCAATGACAACAAGCTCAGTCCGATGATGCTGTGACACACCGCCCCAGACCATGACGGACCCTCCACCTCCAAATTGATCCCGCTCCAGAGTACAGGCCTCGGTGTAGCGCTCATTCCTTCGACGATAAACGCGAATCCGATCATCACCCCTGGTGAGACAAAACCGTGACTCATCAGTGAAGAGCACTTTTTGCCAGTCCTGTCTGGTCCAGCGACGGTGGGTTTGTGCCCATAGTTAACGTTGTTGCCTGTGATGTCTGGTGAGGACCTGCCTTACAACAGGCCTACAATCCCTCAGTCCAGCCTCTCTCAGCCTATTGCGGACAGTCTGAGCACTGATGGAGGGATTGTGCGTTCCTGATGTAACTCGGGCAGTTGTTGCCATCCTATACCTGTCCCGCAAGTGTGATGTTCGGATGTACCAATCCTGTGCAGGTGTTGTTACACGTGGTCTGCCACTGCGAGGACGATCATCTGTTCGTCCTGTCTCCCTGTAGCGCTGTCTTAGGCATCTCACAGTATGGACATTGCAATAATTGCCCTGGCCACATCTGCAGTCCTCATGCCTCCTTGCAGCATGCCTATGGCACGTTCACGCAGATGAGCAGGGACCCTGGGCATCTTTCTTTTGGTGTTTTTCAGAGTCAGTAGAAAGGCCTCTCTTGTGTCCTAAGTTTTCATAACTGTGACCTTAATTGCCTACCGTCTGTAAGCTGTTAGTTTCTTAACGACCGTTCCATAGGTGTGTGTTCATTAATTGTTTATGGTTCATTGAACAAGCATGGGAAACAGTGTTTAAACCCTTTACAATGAAGATCTGTGAAGTTATTTGGATTTTTACAAATTATCTTTGAAAGACAGGGTCCTGAAAAAGGGACGTTTCTTTTTTTGCTGAGTTTATATACAGTGCTGCTTGAAAGTAAGTGAACCCCTTGTGCAATTACAGATTTAGTAAGTTTTTACCATGAAATCTTAATTTAATCAGAACCAGTCTTTTTGATCTGACATAACATGTTTATATTTACCAATAGCATATGTTGGTGTAGAGGAAATCATGCTTGTAGTAGAAAAACAAAATTTAAAAAGGAATTGGTGCAGGTGCAAAAATAAGTGAACCCCAAGTTGCATTGGTTAAATCAAGTAGGTAAGTAGAATCAGGTGGGTAAATAATTAGCTACCAAATGAACCAATCAAAGGAGAGATCGTTAGGAAAGAGTTTGGGCGGGACTGATAAATAGAGATAAGAAACCTGGTCAGTTTGGTGTTGCCCATCCAGGTGAATGCAAAGCACACCATGGCGAGAGGAAAGGAGATCTCAGAGGACATCAGGACGAGGGTAGTGAGACCACATCAGTCTGGGGAAGGCTATAAAATCAACAATAAGAAGAACACTGAATCGAAATGCCATTCATGGGAGGGTTGCTAGGAAGAAGCCTCTGCTGTCAAAAAAGAACCAAACTGCCTGTCTTAACTTTGCCAGAGACCACCTGGACAAACGTGGACAAACCTGAAGGTTTCTGGAAGTCCATTCTCTGGACCGATGAGTCCAAAATTCACCTTTTTGGTCACAGTCAACACCGGTATGGTAAACCAAACACTTCCTACCACAAAAATAACCTTATCCCAACAGTCAAGCGTGGTGGTGGGAATGTCAAGATCTGGGGCTGCTTTTCCTCTGGACCTGGACGACTCCACATCATTAAGGGAACCATGAATTCTGAGGTATACCAGGAGATTCTTGAACAGAACGTCAGGCCATCAGTCAAGGAGCTAAAGCTGGGCCGAAAATCGGTCTTCCAACAAGACAGCAACCCAAAGCATTCAAGCAAATCTACCAAATAATGGCTCGGGAGAAAGAAGATTTGTGTTTTGGATTGGCCAAGTCAAAGTCTCCTCCTATCGAGATGCTGTGGCAGGACCTGAAGCAGGCAGTTCATGCCAGACACCCCTCAAACCTCACTCAATTGTCTGAGTTCTGTAAGGAGGAATGGGCAAAAATCCCTCTGATTACTGGTTGGGGAGTTTCTCCCATTCTTCTCTGCAGATCCTCTCAAGCTCTGTCAGGTTGGATGGGAGCATTGCTGCACAGCTATTTTCAGGTCCCTCCAGAGATGTTAGATCGAGTTCAAGTCTGGGCTCTGGCTGGGCCACTCAAGGACATTCAGAGACTTGTCCCGAAGCCCCTCCTGCGTTGTCTTTGCTGTGTGCTTAGGGTCGTTGTCCTGATGGAAGGTGAACCTTTGCCCCAGTCTGCGGTCCTGAGCGCTCTGGAGCAGGTTTTCATCAATGATCTCTCTGTACTTTGCTCCATTCATCTTTCCCTCGATCCTGGCTAGTTTCCCAGTCCCTGCCGCTGAAAAACATCCCCAAAGCATGATTCTGCCACCACCATGCTTCACCGTAGGGATGGTGCCAGGTTTACTCCATACGTGACGCTTGGCATTCAGGCCATAGAATTCAATCTTGTTTCTCATGGTCTGAGAGTCTTTAGGTGCCTTTTGGCAAACTTCAAGCGGGCTGTCGTGCCTTTTACTGAGGAGTGGCTTCCGTCTGGCCACTCTACCATAAAGGCCTGATTGGTGGAGTGCTGCAGAGATGGTTGTCCTTCTGGAAGGTTCGCCCATCTCCACAGAGGAACTCTAGAGCTCTGTCAGTGACCATCGGGTTCTTGGTCACGGCCCTGAACGAGGCCCTTCTGTCACTGTGTTCTTGGGGACCTTCAATGCTGCAGAAATTTTTTGGTACCCTTCCCCATATCTGTGCCTTGACACAATCCTGTTTCGGAGCTCTACGGACAATTCCTTCGACCGCATGGCTTGGTTTTTGCTCTGACATGCACTGTCAACTGTGTGCCTTTCCAAATCATGTCCAATCAATTGAATTTACCACAGGTGGACTCCAATCAAGTTGTAGAAACATCTCAAGGATGATCAATGGAAACAGGATGCACCTGAGCTCAATTAGGAGTCTCATAGCAAAGGGTCTGAATATTTATGTAAATAAGGTATTTCTGTTTTTTATTTTTAATAAGTTAGCAAACATTTCTAAACCTGTTTTCGCTTTGTCATTATGGGGTATTGTGTGTAGATTGCTGAGGATTTTTTATTTATATAATCCATTTTAGAATAAGGCTGTAACGTAACAAAATGTGGAAAAAGTCAAGGGGTCTGAATACTTTCCGAAGGCAGCTACAGTGCCTTCAGAAAGTATTCATACCCCTTGACCCATATTTTGTGTTATATATATATATTTTTTTCTCACCCATCTACACACAATACACCATAATGACGAAGTGAAAATGAAATATTTAATTTACATAAGTATTCACACTCCTGCGTAGAAGCACCTTTGGCGGCGATTACAGTTTTGAGTCGTCTTGGGTATGTCTGTATCAGTTTTGCAGATCTGGTTTGGGGGATTTTCTCCCATTTTTCATTGCAGATTTTCTCAAGCTCTGTTAAGTTACATGGGGAGCAGCGGTGAACAGCAATCTTCAAGTCTTTCCACATATTTTCAATGGGATTCAAGTATGGGCTTTAGCTGGGCCACTCAAGGACTTTCACATTCTTGTTCTGAAGCCATTCCAGCGTTGCTTTGGCTGTATGCTTTGGGTCATTGTCCTGTTGGAACATACATCTTTGCCCCAGTCTAAGGTCGTTTGCCCTCTGTAGCAGGTTCTCATCAAGGATTTGTTTGTTCCCTCTATCCTTACCAGTCTCCCAGTCCCTGCCGCTGAAAAGCATCCCCATAACATGATGCTGCCACCACAATGCTTCACGGTAGGGATGGTGTTAGACGGGTGATGAGCTATGACTGGTTTTCTCCAGACATAGCTCTTTGCATTCAGGCCAAAGAGTAACATTTTTGTCTCATCAGACCACAGAATATTTTTGCCTTATGCTCTGTCTTTCACGTGCCTTTTTGAAAACTCCAGGCGTGCTGTCATGTGCCTTTTTCTCAGGAGTGGCTTCCGTCTGGCCACTCTCCCATAAAGCCCAGATTGGTGAAGTGCTGTAGAGACATTTGTCATTCTGACAGGTTCTCCCATCTCAGCCAAGGAACTCTGTAGTTCTGTCAGTGGTCATTGTGTTCTTGGTCACCTCCCTGACCAAGATCCTTTATTTTTTTTATTTTTTTTTAGGTTTCGGGGCTGTCGCTGGGCAATACGGACTTTCAGCTCCCTCCAAAGATTTTCTATTGGGTTCAGGTCTGGAGACTGGTTAGGCCACTCCAGGACTTGAGATGCTTCTTACGGAGCCACTCCTTAGTTGCCCTGGCTGTGTGTTTCGGGTCGTTGTCATGCTGGAAGACCCAGCCACGACCCATCTTCAATGCTCTTACTGAGGGAAGGAGGTTGTTGGCCAAGATCTCGCGATACATGGCCCCATCCATCCTCCCCTCGCGAAAACCAAACACTGCATTCCACAGTAAGAACATCATACCAAAGGTCAAGCATGGTGGTGGTGGTGGTGTGATAGTTTGGGGATGCTTTGCTGCCTCAGGACCTGGACGACTTGCCTTAATAGAAGGAACCATGAATTTTGCTCTGTATCAGAGAATTCTACAGGAGAATGTCAGACCATCCGTCTGTGAGCTGAAGCTGAAGCGCAGCTGGGTCATGCAGCAAGACAATGATCCAAAACACACAATCAAGTCTACATGAAAATTGCTAAAAAGCAACAAATTGGAAGTTTTGGAATGGTCTAGTCAAAGTCCAGACCTAATCCCAATTGAGATGTTGTGGCAGGACTTGAAACGAGCAGTTCATGCTTGAAAACCCACACGTCACTGAGTTAAAGCAGTTCTGCATGGAAGAGTGGGCCAAAATTCCTCCACAGCGACGTGAGAGACTGATCAACAACTACAGGAAGCATTTGGTTGGAGTCATTGCAGCTAAAGGTGGCACAACCAGTTATTGAGTGTAAGGGGACAATTACTTTTTCACACAGGGGAATTGGGTGTTGCATAACCTTGTTTATGAAATAAATAAAATAAATATGTAATTGTTGTGTTATTTGTTCACTTATGTTCCCTTTATCTAATATTAGGTTTTGGTTGAAGATCTGATAACATTCAGTATCACAAATATGCAAAAGTAGAGAAAATTTGAAAGGGGGCAAATACTTTTTCATAGCACTGTATGTAAATTTACCAATATAAAATGCCATAGCGATTGACTGTCCATATAGCTGTACCATGATATTTTCATTGCTACTAAGTAACCTTCCAATTGTTCTCCACTAATTCCCCTGCTAAAGCCCCTCCCCATCTCAAGGTCCTTCTTGCCCGGTTGCTCAGTTTGGTCGAACGGCCAGCTCTAGGCATAGTCTGGGTAGTTCCATATTTGTTCTATTTTCCATTGATTGAGACCACTGTGCACTTGGAATGTTTAACACTCTAGAAGTTGTTTTATACCCTTTCACAGATATACAGTGAGGGAAAAAAGTACTGTGAGAGACAGAGTAACAACAAAAAAATCCAGAAAAACGTATGTCAGAAATGTTATAAATTGATTTCCATTTTAATGAGGGAAATAAGTATTTGACCCCCTCTCAATCAGAAAGAGTTCTGGCTCCCAGGTGTCTTTTATACAGGTAACGAGCTGAGATTAGGAGCACACCCTTAAACTCTCCACCATGGCCAAGACCAAAGAGCTCTCCAAGGATGTCATGGACAAGATTGTAGACCTACACAAGGCTGGAATGGGCTACAAGACCATCGCTAAGCAGCTTGGTGAGAAGGTGACAACAGTTGGTGCGATTATTCACAAATGGAAGAAACACAAAAGAACTGTCAATCTCCCTTGGCCTGGGGCTCCATGCAAGATCTCACCTCGTGGAGTTGCAATGATCATGAGAACGGTGAGGAATCAGCCCAGAACTACACGGGAGGATCTTGTCAATGATCTCAAGGCAGCTGGGACCATAGTCACCAAGAAAACAATTGGTAACACACTACGCCGTGAAGGACTGAAATCCTGCAGCGCCCGCAAGGTCCCCCTGCTCAAGAAAGCACATATACAGGCCCGTCTGAAGTTTGCCAATGAACATCTGAATGATTCAGAGGAGAACTGGATGAAAGTGTTGTGGTCAGATGAGACCGAAATGGAGCTCTTTGGCATCAACTCAACTCGCCGTGTTTGGAGGAGGAGGAATGCTGCCTATGACCCCAAGAACACCATCCCCACCGTCAAGCATGGAGGTGGAAACATTATGCTTTGGGGGTGTTTTTCTGCTAAGGGGACAGGACAACTTCACCGCATCAAAGGGAAGATGGACGGCGCCATGTACCGTCAAATCTTGGGTGAGAACCTCATTCCCTCAGCCAGGGCATTGAAAATGGGTCGTGGATGGGTATTCCAGCATGACAATGACCCAAAACACACGGCCAAGGCAACAAAGGAGTGGCTCAAAAAGAAGCACATTAAGGTCCTGGCGTGGCCTAGTCAGTCTCCAGACCTTAATCCCATAGAACATCTGTGGAGGGAGCTGAGGTTTAGAGTTGCCAAACGTTAGCCTTGAAACCTTAATGACTTGGAGAATATCTGCAAAGAGGAGTGGAACAAAATCCCTCCTGAGATGTGTGCAAACCTGGTGGCCAACTACAAGAAACATCTGACCTCTGTGATTGCCAACAAGGGTTTTGCCACCAAGTACTAAGTCATGTTTTGCAGAGGGGTCAAATAATTATTTCCCTCATTAAAATGCAAATCAATTTATAACATTTTTGACATGCGTTTTTCTGGATTTTGTTGTTGTTATTCTGTCTCTCACTGTTCAAATAAACCTAACATTTAAAATTATAGACTGATCATGTCTTTGTCAGTGGGCAAACGTACAAAATCAGCAGGGGATCAAATACTTTTTTCCCTCACTGTATGCTTCATCACAGTTCTATCTCAGAGATCTACGGACAGTTCCTTGGATTTCATGGTATAGTTTCTGCTCTGACATGCGCTGTCAAATGTGGAACCTTATATAGAAATTTCAAAGGAAATTGAATGCACCTGAGCTCAATTTGGAGTGTCATAGCAAAGGGGTCTGAATATTTGTGAATTAGATATTTCTGTATTTCATTTTCAATAAATTTCTAAAAACTAATTTTCACTTTGTCATTATGGGGTATTGTGTGTAGATCCATTTTGAATTCAGGCTGCAACACAAAAAATGTGGAATAAGTCAAGGGGTATGAATACTTTCTGAAGGCACTGTATATGGCTCTGGTTTATATGATTTGAAATCTGTTGGTTTGGAAATCTCTCAACTACTTTCCCAGCAGCAAAGTACTTTATATATAAAGTGTAGCTGCAGTGTAACTTTCCCATGGAGTTTGTATCTCTTAGAAAGTGAAATAATGCTAACAAAGCTACTTTTTAAAGTTGACATAGCCTCTGAGAGGGAATCTGCTGATTGGGCACTTTCTCTCAGCGCTTCTCACTCTGAGTTTTTCCTCTCACTCTTTGACCCACTTGTCCTCCGTACTCTGCTTTGTCAGACTCAGGCCTTTTGAGTTCCTGGGTTCCACTCAACTGCAAGTAATGACTGCTTTCATGTGCCACACTGGGGCCCTTGTAATGCAAGTGTTAGATCGTTAACCTAGCTAAAAATTTAGTTTCTCTTGGCGTTTTGGACTGTAGGTGCCAGTTCATTGTCTCACTTCAGATAGCGTGACTTGTGTGAGTGTAATGCCACCTGTTGAAAGACAATGCAAACTGTCTTATCAAAACATGATAAATATGTTGATTTACAGTTGTTAGTTCATAGATTCGTTGTGGTCTTAGGAATGAGAAAATAATGCAGTTTGAGCGGACAATTCTATTATTAAGCCTGAGAGTCTTTCCTTAGATATCGAAATCAAACTGACCGCTTTTAGAAAGTCAAGTTGAGATTTCTCCCCCATCCTTTGACAAAACCTTTCCAAATGTTGCTAATGTTGACACTTACTGTTTCGACTGATCCTGCTTTTCCTGATTGGTTCCTTTGGCTGTCCTTTTGCCACAGCAACCTGGGGATGGACATCTATTCTGGGACCTTTGCTCTGATTGGAGCAGCTGCCTTCCTGGGAGGTGTGGTCCGGATGACCATCAGCCTGACTGTCATTCTCATCGAATCGACCAATGAGATCACCTACGGCTTGCCCATTATGATAACCCTCATGGTAAAGTACACCTCATTGATTTGAACTTACATTCACAATTTAGTACACTTGCATCAGTGTTGGTACTTACAGGATTGTGTGTGTGTGTGTGTGTGTGTGTGTGCGTATGCTCAGGTGGCCAAGTGGACGGGGGATTTCTTCAATAAGGGCATCTATGACATCCACATTCATCTGAGAGGAGTGCCACTGCTGGAGTGGGAGACAGAGGTGGAGATGGACAAGTAAGCAAATAATACTACATTTATGATAATAAAGATCAGTGGTCATTAAACAGACCCTTGTATCCAAACCAACTTACAACTAACACATTTCTCTTCAGTATACACACATATTCTGTATATATGTGGCCCTTTTCAAACTTTAACCAACTGTGTAGTCTGCTGATGGGTTCAATTCGAATTTGAACTAAAAAAATATGGAAAATAATTGCTTCTCCTTTTCAGTTTCTTGGCAAGACCTTGAAAATAGATTCCCATTTTTCAATGATTGAATTTGAATTTTACTTCCTGAATTGACTGACCCTAACCCTGGTACATATGTGTCCCTTGTTTATCCCCCAGACTGACTGCCAGTGACATCATGGAGCCCAACCTGACGTACGTATACCCCCACACGCGCATCCAGTCCCTGGTGAGCATCCTGCGCACCACCGTCTACCATGCCTTCCCTGTGGTCACCGAGAACAGGGACAACGAACACGAGTTCATGAAGGGCAACATCCTCATCAGCAACAACATCCGCTTCAAGGTAGGAGCCAGGGCAACGTGCAGATAGAAATGTCATAAATAGAACTCACATGATTATTTATTCTACACATCAGAGATGTTTGTTCTACTTAACCTATTTCTGTCTTAACATTTGTGTCCTGGGGTGTATGCATTAATTGCAGATCGTAGCGAAACGTTTCGCCTGTTTACTCTAGGAACCAAAAGGAAGCAAACGTAACGAAACTGGGAGGGACCTACCTGGATTTGTCCAATAGAAACTCTCGTTTTCGTTACCAAACGTTTTTGAGTTTGGAGCATCAGGCCAAACGTTTTGCTACAGTCTGCGACAAATGAATACACCTCTGCTGAAGGTGCCCTTGCATTACCATGAACTGCCACCAGGGGTAGTCAGAGCCCTGTTATACTGTATAATGCATGGGCTAGGGATATCGATATAGGCCACTTAATTCGGCCGTGTTTCCAATAATTGGAAAATGGTGTCTATCCTTCCTTCCGCCCCTCCTTGTAGTATTGTTACTGTAAAGCCCTTTGTTACATGTTGTTGATAAAAAGGCTGTGTAAATCACATCTAGTTCTATGTTAGGGCAGTGTCAGTAATTACATTAGGGAATGTAGGGAACAGGAATGCACAGACAGTCTGTGTGGAACCCTGCCTTCTCCCCCCACCTCCTCCTCAGAAAGCGAGCGTGCTGACGCGGGCCGGGGAGCAGCGGCGGCGCTGCCAGTCCATGAAGTCATACCCGTCCAGTGAGCTGCGCAACGTGTGTGACGAGCAGCTGGCGGCCGTGGTGCCCGCTATGGAGGAGGGCCAGGACATGCTGCAGCAGATGCTGGAGAGAAGGTGAGCCCCACACACACACATACGCACACCTTAATTCTCACACCTGAGTTGGCCACATCCCATTTTTTACAATCACCAACCATGTAACCATCCTATCCCCTGTAACTTTGACTTGGGTCAAATTTGGATTTTGCATCCCTCATTCTTCTGAAATTAACTATTAATAAACATTGCACACATTGTAATCGATAGATTCACAAATGAGTCAGTCCGGTGTTTCTATTTGGAGAGAATGCTGTTCTAACGTGTCTGTGACTATGTATGTTTCTAGACATGTGCCCTACCCTAACCTGTACCCAGACCAGTCCCCTAGCGAGGAGTGGACCATGGAGGAGCGCTTCCGACCTCTGACCTTCCACGGCATCATCCTGCGCTCTCAGCTGGTCAACCTGCTGATACGCGGTGTCTGCTACGCAGAGAACCAGTCGGTCAGTGGCCCAATTCCCAACCCACTGGACAACAGGGTCGTATTCATTAGTGATGGGGGGAAAATATCGATACAGGAGAGCATCGCAATATTATTTTTGCATTCGATTCTCTGACTCAAAGAGAATCGAATATTTAATGTGGAGTCAATGTTAGCTAGTGCTAATCGGCTGTACTTGTGCCAAAACTCCGGAATTTTTCATCCTATAGTTTGTTATCCATCAGCGATTTTATTTCTATGACTTATTAAAACTTGTTTTCTCATGCCTCTGTAGTAAGACCTGTAGTGAGACAGTTGTTTGAACATCGAATCACAATAAAATTGCAGTATCAAATCGCAATACATATAGAATCTTTTGCAGTATCAAATCGCAATACATATAGAATCGTGGTACATAAAGAATCGCACCTAAGTATTGTGATAATATCGTATCGTGAGGTCCCTAGCAATTCCCAGCCCTAGTATGAGGTATGAAAGTGACGTGTCATTTTCCAGGAAGTAGCCTTGTAGTTTTTGAACTTTTGTAACCTTTTTGAATGGTATTCAATGGGAAAAACGTAGCACAAGGGTCTTGAGCGCAACAACTTCATAAAAGGCATCTGGCAGAAGTAAGTTAATCCACAAACACAAATATAATTTTATATGTATCTTAAATGACCGGATTTTCACTAATTCTATGATATAATCGTCAAGCCCAATCAAAAGATTAGGGGACAGGATCCGGAAGTATGACGTAGGACGATGTCACTTGCACATCGTATTCATTAGGCAACAAATGGAATAAAACGGACTGAAACATGAAGGAACTACCTGAACTCTCGTTTTCGTTCTCCGTTGCAAAACGTTTTGCTACTGTGTTCTGTGCACTAATGAATACGACCCAGGAGTTAGTCAGTGTGTGTAGGGGAGAGTGTTTCTACACATGTTGTCGTCTGTGTATGTCTGTGCACCTTTATATTTGTCTGTCTGTGTCCACATAGAGTGCCATGCAGCCGAGACTGTCGTATGCTGAGATGACGGAGGACTACCCCCGTTTCCCAGACATCCACGACCTAGACTTGACCCTTCTCAATCCCCGCATGATAGTGGTACGACCCAGTCCATCACACATCTACAGCTACTGCTGCACTTACAGTCAGGTTGCTCCCCTGGTGCTCCCAACTTTAAAAAGTTAGGAGCACAACATAAGATTTATGAGCAGCAGAAAATACGATTTTTTAAAATAGATTGAGATATAACCTATAGTGCATTCGGCAAGTATTCAGACCCCTTGACTTTTCCACATTTAGTTACATTACAGCCTTATTCTAAAATTGATTAATTTGTATTTATTTTTCCTTATCAATCTAAACACAATACTCCATAATGACAAAGCAAAAACAGGTTTCTAGAAATTTTAGCAAATGTATTAAAAATAGAAAACGGAAATATAACATTTACATAAGTATTCAGACCCTTTACTCAGTACTTTGTTGAAGCACCTTTGCAAGCGATTACAGCCTCTAGTCTTCTTGGGTATGACGCTACAAGCTTGGCACACCTGTATTTGGGGAGTTTCTCCCATTTCTTCTCTGCAGATCCTCTTAAGCTCTGTCAGGTTTCTCCAGAGATGTTTGATCGGGTTGAAGTTCGGGCACTGGCTGGGCCACTCAAGGACATTTAGAGACTTGTCCCGAAGCCACTCCTGCGTTGTCTTGGCTGTGTGCTTAGGGTCACTGTCCTGTTGGAAGGACAGGACAGTGGCTTCGGGACAAGTCTCTAAATGTCCTTGAGTGGCCCAGCCAGTGACCGGACTTTGCCCCAGTCTGCGGTCCTGAGGGCTCTGGAGCAGGTTTTCATCAAGGATCTCTCTGTACTTTGCTCCGTTCATCTTTCCCTCGATCCTGACTAGTCTCCCAGTCCCTGCCGCTAAAAAACATCCCAACAGCATGACGCTGCCACCACCATGCTTCATCGTAGGGATGGTATTGGCCAGGTGATGAGCGGTGCCTGGTTTCCTCCAGACGTGAAGCTTGGCATTCAGGCCAAAGAGTTCAATCTTGGTTTCATCAGACCAGAGAATCTTGTTTGTCATGGTCTGAGAGTCTATTAGGTGCTTTTTGGCAAACTACAAGTGGGCTGTCATGTACCTTTTACTGAGGAGTGGCTTCCTTCTGGCCACTCTACCATAAAGGCCTGATTGGTGGAGTGCTGCAGAGATGGTTGTCCTTCTGGAAGGTTCTCCAATCTCTACAGAGGAATTTTTTAACGTTGTGAACAGAGTGCCCCTTGGTGGGGGTTATGGTATGGGCAGGCATAAGCTACGGACAACGAACACAATTGTACAGAGATACCGTGACGAGATCCTGAGGCCCATTGTCGTGCCATTCATCCGTCACCATCACCTTCACCTCATGTTTCAGCATGATAATGCATGGGCCTATGTCGCAAGGATCTGTACACAATTCCTGGAAGCTGAAAATGTCCCAGTTCTTCCATGGCCTGCATACTCACCAGAGATGTCACCCATTGAGTTTGGGAAGCACTGGATCGACGTGTACGACAGCGTGTTACAGTTCCAGCCAATATCCAGCAACTTCGCACAGACATTGAAGAGGAGTGGGACAACATTCCACAGGCCACAATCAACAGCCTTCAAATTAGTGGATTCGGCTATTTCAGCCACACCCATTACTGATAGGTGTATAAAATCGAGCACATAGCCATGTAATCTACATTGACAGTAGAATGGCCTGTACTAAGGAGCTCAGTGACTTTCAACGTGGCACCGTCATAGGATGTCACCGTTCCAACAAGTCAGTTCGTCATATTTCTGCCCTGCTAGAGCTGCCCCGGTCAACTGTAAGTGCTGTTATTTTGAAGTGGAAACGTCTAGGAGCAAGATCGTTTCAGCCGCGACGTGGTAGGCCACACAAGCTCACAGAACTGGACTGCCGAGTGCTGAAGCGCGTAAAAGTCTTCTGTCCTCGGTTGCAACACTCACTACCGAGTTCCAAACTGCCTCTGGAAGCAACGTCCGCACAAGAACTGTTCATCAGGAGCTTCATGAAATGGGTTTCTATGGCAGAGCAGCCGCACACAAGCCTTAGATCACCATGCACAATGCCAAGCGTCGGCTGGAGTGGTGTAAAGCTCACCGCCATTGGACTCTGGTGCAGTGGAAACACGTTGTCTGGAGTGATGAATCACGTTTCACCATCTGGCGGATGCCAGGAGAACGCTACCTGCCCCAATGCATAGTACCAACTGTAAAGTTTGGTGGAGGCCCCTTAGTTCCAGTGAAGGGAAATCTTAACGCTACAGCATACAATGACATTCTAGACGATTCTGTGCTTCCAACTTTGTGGCAACAGTTTGGGGAAGGCACTTTCCTGTTTCAGCATGACAATGCCACCATGCACAAAGCCAGGTCCATACAGAAATGGTTTGTCGAGATCGGTGTGGAAGAACTTGACTGGCCTGCACAGAGCCCTGAGCTCAACACCCTCAAACGCCTTTGGGCTGAATTGGAACGCCGACTGCTAGCCAGGCCTAATCGCTTAACATCAGTGCCCGACCTCACTAATGCTCTTGTGGCTGAATGGAAGCAAGTCCCCGCAGCAATGTTCCAACATCTCGTGGAAAGCCTTCCCAGAAGAGTGGAGGCTGTTATAGTAGCAAAGGGGGGCCAAACTCCATATTTTTGGAATGAGATGTTTGATGAGCAGGTGTCCACATACTTTTGACCATGTAGTGTAGCTGTGACCAACAGATGCATCTCTGTATTCGCAGTCATGTGGAATCCATAGATTAGGGCCTAATTAATTTATTTCAATTGACTGATTTATGAACTTTAACTCAGTAAAGTCTTTGAAATTGTTGCATGTTATGTTTAGATTTTTGTTCAGTGTAGTTGCATACCCCTGGCCTATATGAAATATAGCTACTTCTGAAGCACATGTTGTGCTCTAGAAACTAATGTATAACCCTGTAAATACGTCTGTTTATTTTTAAAATCTAAAATATTGATACAAATACATGTTTGGATATACTGGTAAAGTTACCAGGTTGTTAGCTAGCAAGCTACATGACTGAACAAGGTGTAAAACAAATGTGGCCTGCTAGTAGTTTTAGAACGGCCCGCTACATGGTTTATGAAGAAAAAGATGCACCCCATCCGTGACAGGAAGAAAGAACATTGCACCTGGAATATGTGTCAGATCTATACAACTGTTTGAGTTGTAAACAAGCAGTTTCCGCTGTATTAGCGGTGCAAGCATGACGCTAACGGATCTGAGCTCGGGAAACAATGGTACAGGGAGCGTTATCATTGTAACAATTATTGTTATGATATATATTTTTTTAAATTATTTTTTGAGGGGTAGCACAGTGCTCCCAAATAAAAATTCCAGGTCCCACAGCAAAATAGGTAACACCAAATTGGTCGCACTTTAGAGCCCTACGTGATAGTGGTACAACCCAGTCACACATCTACAGCTACTGCTGCACTTACACATCTCTTTATGAAGTCAGTACAGTGCCAAAAATGCTTTGTCCCCTAAAAGGAACAATTTACCTCAAAAGTGTTGAGGCTATTTGTTGTTACTACCTGGTTACATGTTTGTGATAGTAAGTGATAATCTTCTTTCACTTTCAGGACGTCACCTCGTACATGAACCCTTCCCCCTACACGGTGTCCCCAAACACACACGTGTCCCAAGTGTTTAACCTGTTCAGGACCATGGGCCTTCGACACCTGCCTGTGGTCAACGCAGTAGGAGAGGTGAGTCGCACCGTAAGGGGTTAAAATTCCCACTCCTTAACTTTCTGTTTCCTCTCTGTGGCCTGGGTCATATTCAGTAGGGCAGTGTTTCTAAATTCCTGGTCCTTTGTTTTTGCCCTAGTGCTACACACCTGATTCCACTAATCAACTCATCAAACTTTTGATTAGTAGAATCAGGTGTGTAGTGCTAGGGCAAAAACAAAAATGTCCACCCCTTTGCGTCCCCAGGACCAGGATTCAAAAACACTGCATTAGGGCACGCCATAGCAAAACTGTTTGCAACGGAAATGGAAAATGAACATTTCTTATTGACAAGTTCAGGTAGTCCCTCCCTGTTTCAGTCAGTTTTCTTAGGATTCAATAATTCCCAGATGTGGAATTATAATAAGAACTGTTTCAAATTACAACATGTCTCTGTCTGTCCATCATAAAGACCGACACACCAAGCTGTGTTGGCCACTATAGCCTTAATGCTTATTAATGGTGACATTTTAATAACATAAAAACTGGCCCTGTCAAAATACTCATTTTATGTACTTGATGCAGTATGTATTAAAGGTCCATATTGTTCCATTCTAAACCTGCATGAATAATCAACACTCTGACAGACATGCAGCTTCAAGGGACTAATGCCACTTATTTTTACTGTCAAACTGTCAAAATAAGATATAATTTGCTTTTGCTTAGAAGCACTAAGCAGAGAAATTGCTCAGTAGCTAACTACTGTAGCTAATTCAATATTTTTGAGTCTTTCTAGAGTGGAGGAAGCAATTTGCTCCATGATGTCGCTCCCTGTACCTTCTCTTTCAGATTGTGGGAATAATCACAAGACACAATTTAACCCACGAGTTCCTCTTGGGGAAACTCAGACAGCACTACGTCACGATTTGAGCTCCAGAGTCCAGTCAATAAAGCCGTCAAGAGCCGCCTACATCTTGCAATCCCTCCTTCAACTCGACATGTACCATACTTTTCCATGTCTTATCGATTCCCCCACACATTCACACACTCAGTACGACACAATGGGCACACACCTCTGTAACGAGAGGTTAAAGGATGACTTTTGTCTGCTACGGAGCCTCTACAGCCCAAGACATCCCCCCATGTCCCAAGTGTCCACGCTTTACCAACAGACCAACGCTTTATCATCTTTATCACTGTAACACTTTTCTTTTGACTTCTGACTGTACATTTTAATTTTGTTACATTCTCTGTGTATTTAAATGTATTATACTATATATTTGCACTAAAAACATTTCACTGTGCCGCCAGGGTTTCGATTAAAGTAGGCTTTCCCTGCAGTGATATCAAGATGTCATATTATGGACCATTTCTAATCAAGGCATATGTGTTGAGCTACATTAACACAAAAATACATAATTGCACTCGCATATGTTAAGCTTAACAGAGGACCGTTATTCTCACAAATATTCAGGCAGCAATGTTATGTTATGTGTTTGAAAGCACAGAGGAAGATGGAGGAATATAATATGGTGTATGTAAAGACTGGATAGAATCAACCAAGGTTTGTTAGTTTTAGTTTTGAGTAGAGGGTGTGGACCAATACAGTGGCTTGCGAAAGTATTCACCCCCCTTGGCATTTTTACTATTTTGTTGCCTTACAACCTGGAATTAAAATAGATTTTTGGGGGGGGTTGTATCATTTGATTTACACTGGGATTTTTGCCCATTCTTCAAGGCAAAATTGCTCCAGCTCCTTCAAGTTGGATGGGTTCTGCTGGTGTACAGCAATCTTTAAGTCATACCACAGATTCTCAATTGGATTGAGGTCTGGGCTTTGACTAGGCCATTCCAAGACATTTAAATGTTTCCCCTTAAACCACTCGAATGTTGCTTTAGCAGAATGCTTAGTGTCATTGTCCTGATGGAAGTTGAACCTCCGTCCTAGTCTCAAATCTCTGGAAGACTGAAACAGGTTTCCCTCAACAATTTCCCTGTATTTAGCGCCATCCATCATTCCTTCAATTCTGACCAGTTTCCCAGTCCCTGCCGATGAAAAACATCCCCACAGCATGATGCTGCCACCACCATGCTTCACTGTGGGGATGGTGTTCTCGGGGTGATGAGAGGTGTTGGGTTTGCGTCAGACGTAGCGTTTTCCTTGATGGCCAAAAAGCTCAATTTTTGTCTCATCTGACCAGAGTACCTTCCATGTGTTTGGGGAGTCTCCCACATGCCTTTTGGCGAACACCAAACGTGTTAGCTTATTTTTTTCTTTAAGCAATGGCTTTTTTTCTGGCCACTCTTCCATAAAGCCCAGCTCTGTGGAGTGTACGGCTTAAAGTGGTCCTATGGACAGATACTCCAATCTCCGCTGTGGAGCTTTGCAGCTCCTTCAGGGTTATCTTTGGTCTCTTTGTTGCCTCTGATTAATGCCCTCCTTGCCTGGTCCGTGAGTTTTGGTGGGCGGCCCTTTCTTGGCAGGTTTGTTGTGGTGCCATATTCTTTCCATTTTTTAATAATGGATTTAATGGTGCTCTGTGGGATGTTCAAAGTTTTGGATATTTTTTTATAACCCAACCCTGATCTGTACTTCTCCACAACTTTGTCCCTGACCTGTTTGGAGAACTCCTTGGTCTTCATGGTGCCGCTTGCTTGGTGGTGCCCCTTGCTTAGTGGTGTTGCAGTCTCTGGGGCCTATACTGAGATCATGTGACAGATCATGTGACACTTAGATTGCACACAGGTGGACTTTATTTAACTAATTGTGACTTCTGAAGGTAATTGGTTGCACCAGATCTTATTTAGGGGCTTCATAGCAAAGGGGGTGAATACATATGCACTCACCACTTTTCCGTTATTAATTTTTTTGAATTTGTTTGAAACAAGTTATTTTTTTCATTTCACTTCACCAATTTGGACTATTTTGTGTATGTTCATTAAATTACAGGTTGTAATGCAACAAAATAGGAAAAACGGCAAGGGGGATGAATACTTTTGCAAGACACTGTAAAGGTCCAGCATATTTTCTAGACAGAAAAGGCTGGACATTTGTTTGTCACTAAGTACCTCTGTAAAACCTTTGTGGAAACTTTGCCGTTGTTCACCTTGTAGATTCACATTGGAGGGAACCAATTGGGAAACCAATAGTATGGTGACTTTCTGGCTAGTTTCCCCATCGATGTAGATTGGGTTGGTGGTACTTTAAAGGTGGAATCCGCTATATGACATTATCACACGACTCAAGGGATGGTGTAATGGTGCTTTCAAGACTGGGAACTCAGAAAAAAGGTCAAATCATGACGTCAGTGATCTTCAGGTCGGAAAGTCGGAGCACTAGAAAGATGCCAGAGTTTCCGAATTGGAATTCCGACTTGGATGACCGTTCAAAACTATTTTTCCAGGTTCCCAGTTGTCTTGAACGCACTGAAGTCAGAGATTTCCGAGTTCCCAGTTGTTTTGAACGTAGCATAAATTGGGATAAGCCAGTAATGGCTGTGTTGTTAAGTTGATGTGTGTAAGTAGGAAGTTTGCCCACTGTCAATTAGGGGTGTAATGGTTCACCAAATCCACAGTTTGGTACGTTTTGAGGTTTTGGGGTCATGGTTCGGTCTCGGTACTGCGGGAAAATTAAATGCCATTCACAATGTTCCTGGCATTGTCTGTTGTGACAGGATTGTTATGTTGGGCCTCAAGTTTCCACTCTGATGCTGTGTCTGTAACCATGTGGGAGGTGGAAATTTACCAGTTTTGAAAACATAAATAGCAGTTGGATGCATTCATGCGATTGGCTAATGGCCAACAAGCTGCGTCAACCATAAACTAAAAGTACAGCTATCACACTTGTAAACAAATTATAGAGTTCAAAAACCTCAATAATAGATTGCTTTTTATAAATAATGTTTTGTTGCATTTAACTGCCAAAAATGCTCTTAGAAGTGGCCATTTACTTAGTAGGTGACTTCAGAGATCATGTGGGAGAAGTGGGTGCTCAGGATGATCGACAAGTTTCCCACTAGTAATTACCAGTTGGAGGGCCGTTCAAGTGGGTTTTTCCCAGTCGTATGTGGTAAATTCCCACTTCCCACTTGGTTACGAACGCACCATGACACTGCTTCCTTCAGTGCGAGATGTACACTTTAACTCCCATAAAGGGGGCGAGTCTGTAGCACTGTACATTTCCCACTCCGGGGTAATGTGATGGGCTGTCACTGTTAAGTAAGCGCAACACAGGGTTCATTGGCCAATTCATTGAAAACTTTGGCTTTGTCTTGCTTATATAGAGCGGGTACTACCTGTTTGCTGAAATGGGTGCAAGAGGGAAGTTTGCAACGTGGCTCCAGCACTTTCACAAGGTGCTGAAACCCCTATTCTCAACCACCGAGACTGGGTGCATATCCGCGGCTATAAACCAAAGACTGTAAAAAAAATTAAAAAAATAACTTAGCCATCCTATCGCTCTTGTAATTTCTTTGGCCCGGTCAGATTTAGCTGCTTGAATTCAGAGGGGAGACGTTGTTTCTTTGCGTTTCCGTCTTGCTCCGGTATACTGGAGTGATGTCGGCGTGAATGTGCCAACATATTTGAGGTGTTGGCAGCTGCATAGGTGACATATTGTTATCCTCAACTCTCTGTCCATCGCCGTTGTATTCTACTGGGAATCCAAAATGTTCCCAAACTGGAGATTTAAATGATGATGGAGGATCCGCCAATTCTGGTTTATTGACCCCACTACTCGCCATTTGTACAGAACTAGTTCTTGGCTGCGCTTCACAAAAATTTGAAATGCGCCAATTAAGATTAGAATTTTGATTACAATGTGCACCTAGGCTCTAGTTGTTTTAACGGAATAGCCTGAAATGTTTTTTCAGATCAGATTTACTCGAGGCATAGGCCTACAACGCAGCGTAGGCATAACCTATAGGCCTAGTGTTTTTATTTTGTACATATTTTTCTTTAATGTATTAATTCGGGTTCACAGTGCGGACCGAAACAAGGTCCCTGTACCGAACGGTTCGGTACAAATACATGTACCGTTACATCCCTGCTGTGTATGGTGATGTCATATTGCAGAGTCTACCTTTTTAACATGTGATTAAACATGATGATGAGGCCAGTGCAGCTTTTCTATAAATTATAAATAGTAAAGATGGATGTAAAGTTAATCAATTATGACAAACCATGATGGCACATACAGTGCCTTCAGAAAGTATTCACACCTCTTGACTTTTTCCATATTTGAGATTGTATGTCACTGGCCTACACACAGTACCCCATAATGTCAAAGTGGAATTATGTTTTTAGAAATTTGTACAAATTAAATACAAATTAAAAGCTGAAATGTCTTGAGTCAATAAATATTCAACACCTTTGTAATGGCTAGCCTAAATAAGTTCAGGAGTAAAAATGTGTTTAACAAATAGCATAATAAGTTAAATGGACTCACTCTGTGTGCAATTATTTTTTTTATCACTACCTCATCTCTGTACCCCACAGATACAATTATCTGTAAGGTCCCTCAGTCGAGCAGTGCATTTCAAACACAGACTCAACCACAAAGCCAGGGAGGTTTTCCAAAGCCTTGCAAAGAAGGGCACCTATTGGTAGATGGGTAAAACAAAAAGCAGACATTGAATATCCCTTTAAGCATGGTGAAGTTATTCATTACACTTTGGATGGTGTATCAATACACCCAATCACTACAAAGATACAGGCGTCCTTCCTAACTCAGTTGCCGGAGAGGAAGGAAACCGCTCAGGGATTTCACCATGAGGCCAATGGTGACTTTAAAACAGTTGCAGAGTTTAACGGCTGTGACAGGAGAAAACTGAGGAGGGATCATAAACATTGTAGTTACTCCACAATACTAACCTAATTGACAGAGTGAAAAGAAGGAAACCTGTACAGAACAGAGCACTAAAGTAAAACTG